TTTTTCTTTCTTTGTCATGATAATGACCTTTTGCTCTCTTCATGGATGATATCCTTGATGTCATTCCACAATTCATCTGGCCTTTGATCACTAGTATTCTATGCTTCAAATCTATTTTTAAGATTGTTCTGAAATTCAGATGGAATAGACTCAAGATCATATTTTGGTTTTTGTGGACTTGTTAATTTCTTCAGCCTCAATTTGAACTTGCACATGAGTGATTGATGGTCGAATTCACAGTGCGCCCCTGGGCTAGTTTTAATTGCTGATATTAAGTGTCTCTAAAGATTCCTTCCTCAGATGTAGTCAATCTGATTTCTATGCAGTCCATCAGGTGAGCCCCATAAGTAAGGTCAACATTTGTGTTTTTTAAGAAAAATATTTGCAATGAATAAATTATTGAAAATACAAAATTTAATCATTCTACTTCCAGCACTGTTTCTAAGTCCATACTTTCCAACTAGTATTCCTTCTTCATTGTTTTCAACTTTTGCATTCCAGTCACCAGTTATCATTACTGCATCTTGATTGCATGCTTGGTCAATTTTGGACCATAAGTTCTGACAAAAATGTTCAGTTTCCTCCTCTTTGGCTTTAGCTGTAGGAGTGTATATTTGAATAATATTTATATTAACACATCTACCTTGTATGCATATGGGTAATATCCTACCACTCACCTCATTGTACTTCAGGGAAGAACTTGAATTTGACATTTTAACCATGAATGCAACATGCAACACCATTTTTCTTCTGTTTTTCATTTCCAGCTTGGTATACCATGTGATTATCTGATTTAAAGTGGCCAAAGCTGGTCCACCTCATCTCACTAGTTCGAAGAATGTCATTGTTCATGTGTTCCATTTCAATTTTCACAACTTCTAGTTTTCCAACATTCATGCTTTGTACATTTTATGTTCCAATTATTAAAGGATGTTTGCCACTATTTTTCCTCATTTCAACTGACTTCCAATCTGGGCTCAACCTCTAATACTATAACTATTTGTGTTCTTCTACCTTTCACAGGGTTTTCAGTGGCCTGTTATTTAAGAAGTGGATGGGAAATTCTGCTTCCTGTGTTTGAGATTGCATCTCAAAGTCAAGAAAACAAAAATCCTTCCCACTGGACCAATAGGGAGCATCATGATAGAAAAGACTGAAACTATCAACAACTTTATCTTACTTGAATCCTCAAGCAACACCCTTGGTACCAGCAGTAAGAAAATCAGGAAACGTATTACATTGAGAAAAAGTGCAGTCAGGGACCTCTCCAAATTACTGAGGAGCAATGATGTCAGTTTGAGGACTAAGGTGCATTTAAATCAGGCCAGGGTCTTTCCAATCACTTGCTTTGCATCTGAGAGGTAGACAGTGATTAAGGATGATAAAAGCAGAATTGATGCCTTTGAGCTGTGGTGGTGGGAGAATATTGAATGATTCCATGGATTGCTAAAAGAATAAACAAATATGCCTTGGAGAAAGTGTGGTCATCATGGTCGTTGGAGACAAAAATGATAAAACTTCATCTCATATACTTCAAGCATATTGCTAGAAGCAGGTGTTCCTTGGAGAGGGACATCATGCTTGGAAAGGTGGAGGGTCAGCAAAGGAGAGGAAGACCCTTAATCAAGTGGATTGACATCATAATTGCTGCAATGGGTTCTAGTGTCAGGAAGTGTGAGGACAGCACAAGATAGGAGAGGGATCAGATCTATTGTTCACAGGGTCACTATAGGTCATATTCAACTTGATAGCATCTAACAACACCACAATGAAATGCCTGAACAAACAACCTCTATTTGCAACACACTTCATCATAATCACTTTCACTTGCTCCATATATTGCTTTTGAATCAATGAACATGCTTTGAGCTTTTCTTGCACTCAAGTAAAACACAATTGTACCTGTTCCAACTCTCCTACTAACTCTACTTAAAGACTTAAAGACCCAGCAACAATAGCAAAGTTCAAGAGGGTGGCAAATGATAAATGCTGTCAAGGATGTGGAGGGATTGGAACTGTTACTCATTGCTGGTGGGAATGTAAAATGGTACTGCCACTATGATAGGCGGTCAGATGCTTTCTCAAAAAGCTGGAAATACAAGTATCATTTGACCCAGAAATTCCACTACTGGGAATGTATCCTAAAGAAGGCAGACCATGACTGGAACAGACGTATGCATACCCATCTTTATTGCTGTGATATTCACAATAGCAAAGAGATGGAAGCAATCCAAGTGCCCATCAACAAACAAATGGATAGAAAAACTATAGAACATTCAAATAATTGAATATTATGCAGTACTGAAAAACAATGAACTCATAAAACATTACACAGGGGGTAGTCTGGAGGACATTATGCTGAGAGAAGTATCTCTGTCACAGAAGGACAAGCAATGTATAACATCACTGTCATAAAATAGGACAGACATGAGGAGGTTGGGGAGAGAATGGGAAAAAAGTGGATAGATAATGAACACTGCATTAGGAGAGATAAGGGGAGGAACTGTCTGAAAGGAATATATGTATTATATATGCATTATATGTATGCCAACAATCTAGGACATTTGCACACTGTGCATATGCCTAGAAGATCTGTGCATTGTGGAGCAGGCTAGGGGAGGGGAGTAAACAGGGGAAAGAAAATGTTCAACAATGGAAAAAAGAAAAAATTATTTAAAAAGTCACATTAAAAATATAAAGGACTTAAAGACACAGTTAGGAATGGATCTTGTTCATAACCGAGGAGCTATATATAATCTCATTTACATGAAATATCTAGAGAGGCAAATGCATAAAGACAAAAGCTTATTATTCACTATCAGGGGCTAGGAGGAGAAAGAATGAGAGTTATTGCTCAAGGAGTATTGGTTTCTGTTTGAAATGATAAAAAACCTTTTGGATATTGATAGTGATGATAGTAGCACACATGGCAAATATAATTAATGCCATTTAGTTGTATATTTAGTCTGGTAAAAAAAGGGCAAACTTTTTATTATACATATATCACTCAACAAAAAAGAATTTTTAATAAGCATAAAGTTCATAACTTTTATAAAACAATACTTAAAGAAATCTATAAACGAAGTTCTATAAAAAAACCATAACTCTATACATCACTTACAAGGTAAAAGAAAAAGGCCAATAAAATAAGTATCATAAGGCCATCAAAAATTACATTAAAAATTACATTAAAAGCTAGTATAACTAAAAACAGGGATAATGTTATAGGATAGAAAAACTATCCCAATAAGATGTTGGATTGAAGGGGGGGGACCTCCAAAGCACAAAAGTTTACTTAAACTAACAGAATTATGTAAAAGTTTTTAAAAGTCTAGGGGAGAAGGATGGTAGGAAAACAAGTAAAAACTATTCTCTCTGAAAAATATTTTCAAAAGTATAAGATTAGGTTTACATTAAAAACAAAAAGTAATATAAAACATTTCCAAAATATGTGTTATTCCCCCAAAAGAGCACAGTATGGCCTTACCAGAACAAATACTGTATATAACTCTCTCCAGTTACAACTCTTTTTGTTGTTGGGTTTTTTTAACTATGTCTCATTATGCTAGCCTTATATCTCAGCACCTCAAAATTAATTGTTTTACCCAGAAATATTTTGCTCTTCTCCCCCACACCCCACCACTGTAGACCTACTTGTCCTCTGCCTTGGTGAAGAAGCTCTTATCCTCAGGTTCCTTTGCCTGCAGGGAACATAATGGAAGCAGCTCTGGATACATGAAAACCTTGCTTGTTGCGAGGATCCAAGCCACTTGCTTAGGCAAAAAAGGAAATTCATAGGCTGTAAGAAAACAGTGTGTGATAAATGGAATTGTAGAACAAAAGAATGTTTCAAAGTTCCTGAATCCATTCCTGCATTTCTGTAGAAAAGCCCTAACTTGATTCCTTCATACTGCCCCACCCCAAAAAATGTTTCCACAATTTTACTCAACTTAAAACATCCAGAAAGGAAGTCTCATTCAATGATTCTCACTTCTTATATGGAACACTTGACATATTAAACACTTGCAAAGTACCTCATATAGGCACAAAGTATATGCTAAAAAATTTTTCCTTCCTGCTTGAAGAATAAATAAATGATCAACAATGCTTTGTTTCTTCCAGATTCTACCTCCTGCAATTCCTCTTACATATCAGGTATTCCAAATTTTATTTTATTGGTACTCAACTGTCATTAAATTCCCTAGATTCTTTCTGAGACTGGCAACAAAAAGTCATATAAGGACACCACAACAAGATAAATAACCCAAAAGAAAAATGAGCACAGGAAAGACATTCAGATGGCTAACAAGCACATGAAGAAATGTTCAAAATCCCTAGCTTTAAGAGAGATGCAAATTAAAACAACTATGAGATATCATCTCACCCCAGG